AAAGCGCAGCTCCATGAAAAGGGAAGCAGCAGTAAGAAAAAAAAAAAAAAAAAAAAAGACAGGGGGGAATGAACCTGGACGCGGCTTCGCGCTAGGTTCGTTCGAAGAAGAAGGGAGAAGAAAAAAACTGAAAATGGTCTAACTCGCTCGTTCCTGAACGGAATCGAGCGAATCAAAAAACGAATCTGAGGTTTTTGGGCAGGGTAAAGCTAATGGAGAAGGTAAATTTGGTGATAGACGGACAGCCTAGGCGGTATCGACAGTATGAGTTGCGCGGCTGTTATGAAGAGGAGTTGGGAGAGTGATGGAAATAATACAAATAGGATTGAGGAAGGAGGCAAAGGTAAGGAGGAGGAGGTAACAACAAGATAGGGAGGAACTTACCAGTACATGGCAGCGATGGTTGTGATCTTGTTGCTATTGGTGGTCGTCATTCTCATCCTAACTGTTGCGAGGTGTATTCGGCCGTGTGTCAGCGAGAGGATCAACCTCATCGTTACCTTAGCAACCGACGATGTCCAGTGTATCTTTTTGTTATAGGGGTAGGTTCGGTCTCTGGGTAGCCGTATGAAGGTCATAGCCGCATGCCTTCACTCATTACCGCGACCGCCATCATCATCCCAGCAGCCATGGCCGATAGAGTCGCAGTTTTCACTATCGGGTGATATCCTTCATGGTTGTGGGGTTGTCTTGGTAAACCGCTGTATGAAGTAGATTTGTGGTCACGGTCCTTGAGTCCGCTGATTTCCACTCACCCAAATCGTAGTCTTCGTCTCGTTCATGGGTTTGGCCCCAATCCTGGTTTTTATCCTGTGGGGCTTTGAACGAATCTGGCCAATCTAAGGACCAAGTGCATTTGTGAATTTGGAGCTGCACACACCCATACACGAAGAGAGAGAGAGAGAGAGAGAGAGAGAGAGAGAGAGAGAGAGAGAGAGAGAGAGAGAGAGAGGGTTGTGCGGGGAGGAGGAACGCACCTCTATTTTGGAAGATGCACCCGGCCACGTTCTAGTGGGAGATTCACTCTCCTATATGGCAGTGAATCCTTCTCTTTTTCTTTTTCTTTTTTATTCTTTTTTTTTTGTGTTTTTTTTTTTGGATAAAAGAATCATTCTCAAATTACACATTTGGTGAGTAGCAGGTAACAATCGCATTCTTCAGGTGGTAACGACAACGGTGGAGCTGATCCCGTAAACATGATGCTCGTTTTTTAGCTTGATCGCCATCATTCCCCCCACACATTGCTAATTGTCTAACCGACTGCAACGGTCAACTTTAGGTTCTCTGTTTCCTCTTTTTCCCGAATGTGGACTGAATCTGGCCGAAATAATAGTGACCATCGTATTCTAGTGAAAGAAAAGAAAGAGGGGGAGGAGTACATACCTGGAAGATGAGTCTCCCCATGTTTAAGTGAGAGATTCATCTTAGTTGGTACCTGTATTTAGCCCTATTATAGCGGAAGAATCACTCGGGTTCTGCTGAAAGATAGGCGGGGATAGGGAGACGAATTGAAAAGAGGAGTCCGTGTCTAGCTGCGAGCGAAGGGGTTAGTGGCCCTTTCATACATACAGTTTTTTTGGGGAAATATGGTGGTCATGTGGTCTCAGGGCGTGGAGTAAGCACGTGCTGCTTGCTGCCCATTGCTAGGCCTCGATGTGTTTATGCTGAGCGTTTGCAGTGCTAACTGTGCATTCTGCGGTACATCTGCTGCGCAGCGCTGTGAAATTGCGGGGTTGCTGGGCATAGATGTCGTGGATCTACTGTGCACATTTCTGTTGTCTGGTGGAAGTTTCGCTTCGACCGTGCTCTGTTAATCGATGAAATTGGTCTGTCACGGTGTGTTTTCACATACCTGAGTGAAATGTTTTTCTTGATTAGTGCAGTGGCAGACCGCTCGGTTAGTATACACATGAGGTTGTTGGATCATAGACGTAAGTTCGGAACCAGTAGTGGACGTTGTACTGACCGCGGTCAGTAGACTGGGGAGTATGTGGCGGACTGTGTAAGGCTGGGTGATCTACTACTACGATCCCGACAACAGGAGGTGGTTGCTACAACTTCTTTTGCTAACGATGCAACGGATGTTGGGGGCCGCCATTAGCCATGGCAGTTGAACTGATACTATGTCTGCGTTACAACTCTCATAAGTTGTGTTATCCGTTAATAACTGGGTAATTGAGCCGCCATGTGTAACCGGACCAGTTCTGCCGCACGCAAATTCTGGTGTTCTTAGTGGGAAGGGAAGCTGTTTTTGCCACAGCGACCATCGACCTGTGTATCGCAACCAGTGGTTGTGGAGTCAGGCCAGTACTATTGAACCGCTACAGTTGGTTCCAGTAGTGCAACTGAGGCGCCATTTGCGGCTGAGTGTGGGGCTTGAGTCCGTTGGATGCCTTGAGGACCCCAGAGACTTTTGCCGTTGTTGGGGAGACGGTGGAATGAGGCGCATATTGCTGAGCATGTTGCGGGTGTTCCGTTGTGCAGTGCGGCTCATGTTGCTGAGTACAGTGTACGTTACTGTATATTGTGTTGTACACACCGCTGGGTGCACACTGTTGTGCACCCGGCTGTGTCCCCGACAGGCATTTGGCGCGGTGAGAATTATTGTGTTGTTGGGGTACACCATACTAACTGCAGTTGCTGTTTCAGTAGGTTGCAGCGAATTTTGGCAGCAACCGACTGCTTTTGCTGAAAGTCCAAACCGCTGTTGTTGCCAGAATCTGGAGGACTGCTACTACATGGTGCACGTTGCGTTTCTTTTTGTCGTAATTGGTTGATAAGTTTGTTGTGTATGACGCTGGGCATCCCTCTGAGTCTTTGACATAAAGAGTTGTAGCGCATCGCATACACTGTTGTAATGCCTGATTACAGGACACAGGTGTTGTACCCATGAGTTTCTACTAAGTTGTCACTGCCTGCCTGCACTTTCGAATAAAGCACCGGGGTGGGCTCTATTTGAACGCGACCTTTCTAGGCTGCGTAGTAGGAATTTGGTCAGGAAGGGAGGCAGAGTGGCTAGGAGGGGCTACTACTGCTGCTCGGAGGGCTGCGGAAGGCTGTTGTTCGACACCCAGACCGTAATCCATTCCTATCTGACGCATTCTATTGGCTACCATTGCGGGGCCCTCAGGCGCACGAAGATTTCAAGACCCTCTCCCGTGAGTTTGAGTGCACCCCTCTTGTATCCGATAGTCTAATCTTTCTACCTCTACCCTTCTTACTCTAAGTCTAGTCTGAAGTTACGAGAGGAAGGCGGCAGACGGGATTGCAACCCGTAGGTCCGCATCAAGACCTTGTGGGAGGTCCACCCACCGATTGCGGGAGCTCTGCCGGAGCCTAGGCAGGGTTCTGGAGGCTGGGAACTTCAGGTATAATTTCGTCTGACGCGTGTGATCCCTTCCCCTACTTATTGCCCCCTAGGTATCTGAGTACAACTATGTGAAGGTATTGCTTTCTGTTTTGCTATGTATGTCAGGACATGCATTGTGAAAGGAGTAAATGAACAAGTATATATGAGAGCTCAGATAATCATCGAGTGGATTCAGACAAAATAAATTGAGGGAAGGTGGGATGAAGGTGTATTGCATGCGTTTGACTGGGTCAACCCAAGGCTGAGCTCCTCTATGTTGATGTGGGCTCAGTGTTGTGTTTTGTTTATGTTTGTTGGGCTGATTGTATGATCTTTTTGGGCTGGGCCTATCCTAAGTTGGACGGTCAAGTCACTTGTTTCTTTTTGGGGTTTCTGAACATGAGGATGGGCACCCTAAGTTGGGAGGACTAAGAATCATGATGTTTTCTTTTGGGTTGTTAAAGACAGAGCTGGGGATATTCTAAGTTGCGTAGACCCAGTTCTGTGTGTGTTTCTTCTGAGGGGGACAAAGGCATAAGACTAAGCGTACCCCTAAGTTGGGGCGGCTTAGCCATAAGCCATGAACTTAATGGTCAACCAAAGTATAAAATTTTGATATATATTATACGAACTTATACCATCTGGCAGACCGGGCATCCTAAGTTGGGAAAGCCAGTCATCAAAGACTCAAAAAACAAATACATTGAAATAATATAAAAAACAAACTTGAAAAAAAACAGTAAACTCAAAACAAACTTCTGTTAACAAACTTCTGCTTGGCTTTGGGGGTTTGGCTTCTTTGCCAAATTAGCCCATCTGATGAGCTTGATACCAGACTATTAAGTTGTCAAGCTCATTTGGGTATAGTGCAGACCCATTGATCCGATGGGCCGATGATTGGCGTCCTTTAGGGTCCCCGATGGATACCTTGGTGTTTAGAGGCCGTTCGAGCAGAATATACCCAATCGCTTTTTAGGTCACTATTCGGCTTCTGCTGTGTCGGGTCAGGGGACCTCTCCGGTTTCTGGGATTGGCTCTGTTTTCTGGAGAATCCGACCAATTTCTCCGTTTTGTTCTGCTGATTTTATTCTCGGAGGAACCCGGCCGTTTGTTCGGTTACATTCAGACGTTTTCAACTTCTGAGATCGGGGCCCGTACGACTGCCTTGGGACTTTATGATGCCTGGCGTGGGACAGTTTTCAGGTCTCTTTTGATCTGCGGCTGACAGTATAACTTTGAGCTGCCCGATCGAGCGAGCCTCATTCACCTCTCGTTTAAGAGGCGTCATAGGTGCGCGCTCCTCCGCTTCTTCTTCTCCTCGATGGTTACTGCCGACGCCAGTTGCTTCAGTGGTGGCACCAGCGGCGGAGACGCTGATCTGGAGTGGTTCATTGGCTGAGAACGTGCTTCGCTGCATAACTGCTTCACTGCTCCGGCGTACTACGGGAGATTGTCTCTTCCTCGTTTTTGCATGTCTTCTGTTCCCGGCTATCTGTCCTGTTCTCTTCTTTGCAGGTGATTGAAGACATGTGGTTCACAGTGGATTTTCGATTAAACGTGCTGAGTGGAGGGTTGAGATCTTCCTCTCCTTCCTTCCATCAATGTTTGTCTCGCGATCCCTGTGACGAGGCACACCACGTCGCCGGTACAATGATGGGGAGGTTTCCTCTAGGTATTGTTTGATCGAGGGTAGGGGTAGGATGATGTGCTATATAACGGAGGTAGGTTGTAGGTTGAGCCTCCATGTTTTGAGCATCGGGTTGTGTGGGTAGTATCCTCCTTATGAGACTATTTCCGGGGTAGGCGAAAGGCGTTGAGGAGAGGCCGTGTGGTATGTGGGGGCGGGTTACTGTTGTCCTCGTTGTTCTGGGATCGATCCTATTCTTCTAAGGTGTATCTTTTGATCGGTTCCTTTGGTTCGTTTTGAATTTGTTCAAATATTGTGTGCGTAATAGTCTGATTATTAATGGTGTATCTTGGTATGCTATTCTCACGCTCAAACTTATTTTCCTCGTCTGTTTATTCCTTCAATTCTGGGATCTATGGCAACCGTAAGTGCATTCGTACATTTGTCGGTGGTTGCGCTTTACTGTGACTCTAGGGCTCTCTAGTGCGACAGTAGTGCGACTCTAGTGCCGACTCTAATATTAGCTCATTACGATACTACGTCCGAATACGTTTGTTATAGAAAAAAAAGAGGGTTTTACTTTAGGACGGTTCGGACAGTGCTTCGTAGTTCATCACGGAGCGTTGGGGGTAGCTTTGTTTGGTTACATCAGGTTTGATTGATCTTGTTTATTGCGCACCTCGTCAGCTGCTGCGCTTCGAGTCTGTGTCGTTACACCATTGGACCTCGGTTACTGACGCGATGCGGGCGGTGCTTAGGATCGCAATCGTGGTTGGGGATTTTGAAGATTTGATTAGGGTCGTGGTCTTCTACGACGATGACACGAGATCCTGTTGGATCCTGATCAGGCACGGGTGATCGTTTTTTATTTTGACTGCGATCGAATTCCAGCGTCTCTCGTTCCTTCCTGTTTGCTGGTCCGCTTTTCTCCTGTTCGAGCACGGCGGACTATATCCGGAGGGAGCTTTTTCCTCTCGGCGAAGATTTCGTCTGCTGCACCGATTGGTTGTGTTGGTTGGCTCGTGTTGTTTTTGTTGCGCAGGTACTAATACTTTCGCAATGGGCACTCCCATGGAGTGTTTCAATTGTAACGGAGATGGCCATTTCGCGAGAGAATGCCCCATCGCCAGAGGTAATCCAAGCGTCTCAGGGAATTCCGCAGCGGCACCATCGACTCCTCGTTTCTGGACGCCTAGGCGGACTACTGAGGATAACGAGGAACGTGAGTTCTTAAGGCAGATCATCCAGGAGAAGAAGGATGAACAAGCAAGGAAGCGTGAGTTGGACGAGCAGAGGAAGTTTGATGATATACTAAAGGCGGAGATGGCAAGATATGCGGAGGCTACAAAGGTCGAAGTCATGGCGACGGTTGGGCGACAGTATTTAGGACAGAAGGACGAAGCCCGGAGGGAGGAGTTAAAAAGGGGGTGGTCTCCTCCTCCTAGGAGAAAAGAGATGTGGAGGACATTGATTTGGAGATCCGGCGATTGGAACTTTTGCAAGAGAAGAGGCGCCGGGGGAAGAAGGCCGTACGTGGTGGAGTTAACTTCCATCAGCCTTCCTTCTCTTCTGGGTCGGGATCAGTGGAGGACTCGACGATTAGAGGAGAGTGTTCGCGTGATGGTGAGCGAAGGACGAAGGTGCCCGCGGGGGTTGGGGCTGAAGGTCTGTTCCAGTATGTTCTCGATCAAAAGGAGTTAGCCACGATGAAGCAAGATGAGCTTAAGAGGATCTGCGCTAGGGAGGGCCTACAGTATGACACGAAGGGACCGTCCATCGATCGTATAGTGGCGGCCAGAGCTAAGATTGCATATGAGGGCTTCATTTTCTCACAGCGCCTTCTGCGCCTAGCTCCCCAGAGGGCGCTGCTTCTCAATCTAGGTGACTGAGGGACTATGCTTGTTTTAGGCTATGGGATAGTTTTCTACATTGGATGGGTTGTAGGCTACGGACCTTTAGGGAAGATGCACCTGCGAGGATTCGCCTTCTCTTTGAGAAATGTATCTCTTTGTATTGTGTTGGGTTATCTCTGCTCGGGGAGATCAAATAGAATGTCAAATTTCAAAGAATGTTGTGTGCGGTTGATTGGAACTGATGGGATCATGGACGAGTTGTTTACCTGCTCGCATCTCCATGGTGCAAGTCAAAGTATGTCGGGAGTTCGGTTAGGGGAATCTTTGTTAGATGGAATGAACATGTTCGTTCTTCTTTTAGTGGAGCCCTGGGATCTTGTCCGAAATTGTATCGTTGGCTTAGGTTCTTCGGTCTCTAGAGGTACTTCACCATTCCGCTCGTGAATGGTGTTATTTCTGTTGATGTAGCCGGAAAAATCGTTATTCGTAGCTTTGCTCCCGTGCTCAATACTAGACGATCACGGAGGAGGCAGAGATTTGGGACCCGACCATCGCGACGAACAAGGAAAGGTAAGGCGGCTATCCCTCCTAGTCTTGGGGCTTTCATTAAATTCGGGCTGGAAATGGGAGATTGGTGTGATGGCTTGCTTTTGGTATTGCGTGATTTGTTTACCTCTACCATTAGACATGTTGTTTTGGATGTCCTCCCTGGTAACTTCTGGGCGGATAAATGGTCGTTAGTGCGCAGGTTTTTTGGTATGATTGCAGTCAGGTGTGGTGGATCTTCCGTTCTTTCGAAGGATGCTAAGGCTTTGCTTCAAACTGGTGGAAGTTTCGTGTTTGGGCTTATCATTTTCACCCCCTTTGGCAGAACTATTTTTAAAGGACAGTTGGAGATCTTTCTTTCGCAACCATGGAGGAGACGTTGTTTACCTTCTTGTTCGGATTTGCGGCTCATTCGATGGTTCAGGGTTGCACGAGAATTCTCTAGAAAGGAGACGAGATCTTTGCTTAAGGTCATGATTGCCAAAGAGGTAAAGAAAAGGATCGGGGTCGATATTCGGAGCAGATTAGTCATTCGTATGCAGTATGATCACTTGGTTTCAACTACGGAGGTGCATAGGTTAGCAGTGAAGGCAGTTGCGTATTCAACTTTCTCGCCGGTTTTTGCTGATTTTTTGTGTTCGCGTGTACGATTTATCTGGAAAAATAACAAAAGCATTGGTGACCTTCTCTTTACACACAAGAGGGTCTCACGTGGTGACTACTTAGAGTGTCATTGTTTCGATGTGCTCGAAAATTGGAACGGCATGGTTTGCATACTATGACCAGGATCGACGATGTTCCTGGTATCCCGGATATTTTTCGAAATTCCAAGAACATCCCCGTTCGCACCAAGGGGATGGCCATGGAGGAGCAAGGTAAAGAGATTGTCCGTATTTGTAGGATCACGAGATCGTCTTTCTTGATCGACCAGGATGCCCTTCGTGTTTGTTTTGTGGATGCTGCTGAGAATTTCGTACCCTCGGACCTTTTTGGCTGGTTGGGGAGGCTTAGGCGTTTTGCTTGTGTACCTATAGATCGAAACATTGCGGACATACTGATCATTTGTCCTCTCCTGTATGCCCATTTTCAGAGAATGACCTTCGACTGGAATTGTGCTTTTACGCACTAGAAGGCAGATGTGCACGATTTGATTTCCGAGATCCGCACTGATTTTCACTTGAAGGGTGTGCACAGCGTTGGTAAATGGGACACCAAGGGGACTTTTGGTAAAGCTTTTGTTTTACCGAAGCACAAGGATCTCTTGAGGTGGCGTCCCATTTCGCCTACTTGTTATGAGCCTACGCGGTTGGCCTGTGCCAGGGTCGCTCGATGTCTGAACTGTCTGCTCTTTCAGCTTCCTGCCAATCTGTGCTTTAACCTCATAGCTGTGGATCAGGTCCGCACAAGGTTGGAGGAGATGGACGGGGATCTGGATCGCTTACCTGGTTTGGTTAACCTGGTCGTAGGGTCCTTCGACGTGAAGGATATGTTTGTGACTCTGCCACAGGATGACATTCTCCGTGCGGTAGATTGGTTGTTCGCTAGGTATATCAGTTCCGGTTATGAAGGTGTCAATGTCGCCAGGAGGGGTTGTCAGTCCTTTTTGTCCTTTGGCGCAAGGAGGGACGATTGTATTTTTCTCAGTTTTCAGGTTATTCGGGACATGCTTGTTTTTTATCTTCGGTTTACCTTTGTGTGGTCAGCCAAGGTTTTGCTTAGACAAGTCATCGGAGTTCCTATGGGGAAATCGTCCAGTTGTTTGTTGGCATGTATCCTCTGCGCATGGGCCGAGTTTAATTTCTTGAACACTGTGAGGATTCATAGGCGTCTTGTTTTTGGCTTTCGGATTATTGATGATGTTAACATTTTCGTGGCAGTCGTGCGAGCGGAGGGGTATGCCACTGCTTCCTGGATTTTTGAAAAATTTCAGTCTTGTTATGGTTCCAAACTCCGTTTGGAGCGAACTGATGACGGCTTGGGGCAGTGGGCTTTTGTTGGGATGATGGTTCAGAAAGACGATACGGCGATACGTACCGTAGCCCTTGTGAAGAATTCGGATCCGATCTGGAACGAGGGAAAACTGGTTTTTGGCTTATATTAGGACTTTGGGTCTTATTCGTCGAAGCGGGCCAAGATTGGGGAGATTATTGGTTCGCTACATAGGGTTTATAGATGGTCTTCGGATGATTTTGGCCGTCTGCAGTTTTTCCTTACTGTCTGGAGGGAGCTTCTCATGCGAAGGTATCCCCCCAGATTGGTTGCAAATGCCTTTGATAGATTTGCTAGGAAGATGAATTCGCCCGAGGCCCTGTTGGTCGCCCGGATGGGGGGAGTTGGAGGTGGCTTTGGGGGTTTGGCTTCTTTGCCAAATTAGCCCATCGGATGGGCTTGATACCAGACTACTAGGTTGTCAAGCTCTTTTGGGTATAGTGCAGACCCATTGATCCGTTGGGCCGATGATTGGCGTCCTTTAGGGTCCCCGATGGACACCTTGGTGTTTAGAGGCCGTCCGAGCAGAATGTACCCGATCGTTTTTAGGTCACTATTCGGCTTCTGCTGTGTCGGGTCAGAGGATCTCTCCGGTTTCTGGGATTGGCTCTGTTTTTTTAAGAATCCGGCCAATTTTCCGGTTTTGTTCTGCTGATTTCATTCTCGGAGGAACCCGGCCGTTTGTTCGGTTACATTCAAACGTTTTCAGCTTCTGAGATCGGGGCCCGTACGACTGCCTTGGGACTTTATGATGCCTGGCGTGGGACAGTTTTCAGGTCTCTTTTGATCTGCGGCTGACAGTATAACTTTGCGCTGCCCGATCGAACTGACCTCATTCACCTCTCATTTGAGAGGCGTCATAGGTGCGCGCTCCTCCGCTTCTTCTTCTCCTTGGTGGTTATTGTCGATGCCAGTTGCTTCGGTGGTGGCACCAGTGGCGGAGACGCTGATCTGGAGTGCTTCGTTGGCTGAGAACTTGCTTCGCTGCTCCGGCGTACTACGGGAGATTGTCTCTTCCTCGTTTTTGCTTGTCTTCTGTTCCCGGCTGTCTGTGTTGTTCTCTTCTTTGCAGGTGATTGAAGACATGTGGTTCACGGTGGATTTTCGATTGAACGTGCTTAGTGGGGGGTTGAGATCTTCCTCTCTTTCCTTCCATCAATGTTTGTCTCGCGATCCCTGTGACAAGGCACACCACGTCGCCGATACAATGATGGGGAGGTTTCCTCTAGGTAGTGTTTGGTCGAGGGTAGGGGTAGGATGATGTGCTATATAACGGAGGTAGGCTGTAGGTTGAGCCTCCATGTTTTGAGCATCGGGTTGTGTGGGTAGTATCCTCCTGATGAGACTACTTGCTGGGTAGGCGAAACACGTTGAGGAGAGGCCGTGTGGTATGTGGGGGCGGGTTACTGTTTTGCTCGTTGTTCTGGGATCGATCCTATTCTTCTAAGGTGTATCTTTTGATCGGTTCCTTTGGTTCGTTTTGAATTTGCTCAAATATTGCGTGCGTAATAGTCTGATTATTAATGGTGTATCTTGGTATGCTATTCTCACGCTCAAACTGATTTTGCTCGTCAGTTTATTCCTTCAATTCAATTCTGTTAACAAATATATGTTATGTAGAAACGTATTACAAACAACTTCTACCTGGGAGTCGTCTCCGAATTCCCAATCAAACTCGAGTCAGAAATTTAAAACTAAAAAAAAAAAAATATTATTATAATAATTTAAAACCTATTTAACACCTGTGTAGCATCATGTTCGGTTTCAGTCACCAAACCCAAACGTTCAGGACCGAATGCAAATAAGCGTCAAAACTCTCTAAGCTCGATTATAAAAATAAAAAATATAAAATATAAAACTTATTACAAAGCTCTGACAACAATGTATGTTATGTAAAATAATAATACAAACAACGTTTTCCTCATACGCATCCTCAAATTCATAACCAAACTCGAGTTAAAAATAAAAAACCCAATTTTTTTTTTTTTTTTTTTTTTAATATGTGACCAAACACGTTCGGAATGCGTTTGGTCGAACATCCGAACATGTTCGGTGTGCTACACAGTTAAAAACTATTTGTTTTTATTTTTTATTATTTTAAAGTTTTCTTTAAGTTTTTTCACCTTTTAAATAAAGTTTGCCTATGAAATCGGGTATGGCTCTCATGCAAAAAATTGTTGTATTATTATTTTGCACAACATACGGTTTTTTTCATATTTTTTGGACGACTTATTTATTTATTTATTTATTTTTACATACGTGTATAAGCGATTTTGGGTTCGTAGGTGTATGCCGAAAAATGTACGTGTGCACCCTTTATACTAGTACTGGGTGCTACCCACATATGTATGTGTAATATATATATAAGGTAACCGACGTTCGAGACGGGTCGAATACCCGAATCCGAACTCGTGAACGTGTGGGACCCCTTGGGAATGCGTTCGGTCGTTCGAGCTGAACGCGGAATAAAAATAATAATTAAAAAAAAACATAACAAGCAAAATCTGAAGAAAAAACTATGTTATAAAGAAAAATAAAATAAACAACATTTGCATGAGAATTACATTGAAATGCCTTACCAAATTTGAAATAAAAATAAAGTACAGAAAAAAAAACTAATAATCAGGGTTGCACGGTGTACGTGTACGCGGGTTGCACGTACACACGTACACGTATTCCGGTACACGACACGTACGTGTGTACACGTACTCCCATACATGGGAATGCGTAAAAAAAAAAAAAAAAAAAATCATCGAAAAAATCCAAAAAAAAATTATGTTATGAAAACTGATATTTCAAACAACTTTTGCCTGAAACTCT